GCTATGTATGTGCAATTGACCTTAAATTCCAGGTGGTTGTATTTGGAATTAAGTCTGCTTATTGGACTTGAAACAGGATGGCCATACACAGATCCTTATTAAACTTTAAAACCCATTGGGTGTCCTCAGACCAATGACATTCTCTCTAGGAATGGCATATTTTTTATACTATGCCAATGCTGGATTAAGTCTAGGAAGCCCAAATTGGTTGATTTGCTAAATGATTTATAGAACTGTTCATTTCATAGCAGTGACTCTGGGTGGCATACAAAGATAACAACTATCACAATAATCCCTGAAACAAAACCATATCACCAACACCAACTGAGCTTGCCTAACTTCATGTCCCCAAAGACTGGACAAACTGCCTTGCAAAAGGCTAAACAGACTGTTCAAAACTTTGCTCAGCTCTAGATATTTATTGGCTGACTTAATCTTTGGCTTAATCTACCTCACTACTGTAGTTGTGAGAAGAAAATTGGAGGACGGTGTAGATTGCCTTGAACCCCTTGGCAAAAGATAAGAAATAAAAAAAATCCTGTCTTGATTTGAACAGTTGGGGGAATTTTTAAAATAGAATTAATATTTAAAAAGTGGAAATATATTCATTATCCCTTTGATTTATGTTGGTTTTTGTTTTTAGACTTTGTTACTCTGAAAAAGATAAAGATGAAAACACTAAGAAATTTACTCAGTGGAAAGTCAATTATTTGTTTACATTGCAAGATTTCACTGTTAATAGGCTGAAAAAAAGTCTCTCATTTCATAATAATGTATTCCACTTCACGGTGCAATATTTCCAAATAAATAATAGTATAGCATCAAAAGAATTGCAGAAATAATATTGAGAGAATTGAATTTGAAAACTTATCACTCATAATGACAAACACCAGTTAGGTATAAGTTATATGCTACTAGTGAAATATGACTCAGAATCTCAAAATCTTAAAGATTTTATGTTTAGCTAGATGCAAAACTTGAATATAGTAATAGCATCAGTGGGCATTTAAATGGAAAAAAATATTAATATTATGAATATTATATTTATGGAATATTATTTTCACTTTGAGTTAGACAATTGACAAAAAGTATGGCAGAACTGGAAATTTATGACAACAGAAGAAAAATTCTAATCCCTACTTACATTAGTATGGTTACAATAAAGGAAAACTCTTCAATCAAGGAAAAGTTTCCATAGATATTGTTTTATGTCTAGGCAAAAGACCATGGGAAAAACTTGATGAATGTAGAAATACTTCTAGGATATATACAAATAGTGTATTTGGGATGTTTTAGACCAGAGGTATCAAACTGCTGGCCTGCGGACTGGCTGTATCATGTGGAGGATGTGCCCATTCCAGCTCCAGCAATGTGAAAAAAGTCATGATACGTCAAGACACATCACATGACACAGCGAGTTTGACACCCATGCTTTAGACCTTCTTGGATTTGGCGTCCCAAGTCTTGCTTCTTTCACAGCTCTTATTTGAAGTCTCTTTATCTGCATTCAGTAGAAACTAGTGAGAATTTTACTTCCTCATCATATAGTACATTACCTATGTGGCCCTTCCCCCCCATTACATTTGTATACAGGTAGAATAGAACTAATCACAGGTAGAATAGTCTGGATCAAACAGCATCTCACTGACAATTATTCTTTTAATAATCAGTTGTTATTTGCTACTACAGTATATCTCAACCATTCCCTTCAGTAATAATGCTAATTATTTATGTGTGCATATGTTCAGGTAATATTGCATCTTGTTGCAAGCATTTTATCTATTACTTGATGTCCCAACCTTCTTCCAAGAACCCATGGCAGCTTGCATGGGAATCATTCTCACAACGACAATCCTGTGAAGTAGGTAAAGGCTTGGACCTGGTTTAGCCTGGAGCTTGTCAGATTCTTGACCTCTGTGCCATGCTGGCTTTTCCTCCAACTATCTTCCAAAAAGTATGAAAAAAGTGTGACTAATATTTTATTGGAATTTCCAGGCTTGTCAAAAGACCAAAAAATCTTATTTAAGCGTAGCTCAGATTTTCAATGCCTTGTTTGTTTGTGCTCCAATGCAGTTTGTTTCATCTTTGCACAGGGGACAGAGAAGAGCAGGTGGTATTTGTTCAGAACTTCCAATTAATACTGTTAAGGCCTTGCTCTCTTTGAAGGTGCTAATTAATTGTGGGTTGTTATGGAGAAGGGAGAAATCTGGTTGAAACTTACAGATCAGTGTTCAGAAGAATAGGAGCCACTATCCTTTTTATTACAAATTATGATTTATATGACAGATGTAGTTGTATCCACAAACTCTGAATACGCAAAAATGAATTACCATTCATTTTTTTCCCAGTGATTGTGAGTGCATTGTTGCCTATGTTAAACTTAACTAATAGCCATCTTGGAGGGAGGGAGGGAGGGAGGGAGATACATGTAATATCTTGAGTTTTACTTGTCTTCAACTTTACTGCTGCTTTCCAAAGTGGTTACAATGATGGTTCTGACATTTTTGCAGGGAAAGTTCCACTACTCAGTGTGAGGTGTCCACAGACGGGATCAAAAAGATCAAGATGGCAGCCTAGATGGTGCCAACCATGCAGTTGAATCCCCACATATTTTTATTGCCTTTGCTCAGCAGTAGCATTTGTGTGCTCACTTAAAATATTTTGCAAGCTCACATTGAATTATAACGATCTCATTTAAACATATAGTAAATAAATATTTACATATAAGCCTAAATATGCTTCCTCTCCTAGAGACTCTGCTCAGTGTAGCAGACTTTCAAATTAAGAAAAAATATTTCAAACCAGATGAATAAAATGAGAAAAATTATTGATCTCTAGAGTCTTGAGATGGTACTGATTGGCTATATTTTTAAAATCAATTTTTAAATGTTGATATGATAGAAAGGGCATAACACATACACACATTATAGTACTTTTAATTACTACTAGTCATTGGTATTCTTACTGTTTCCAGGAACTCACTTTTTCATATTTTATTTGTCTTTGTCTTTATATGTACAATGGATAATAATAAACATGTACAATAATGTGGTTGCATAAGTGTCTACATACTCTTCTAAGTAGGGATGTGGCTGTGTTAGAGTTAATCACATTCAAACTAGTGTTAAATACTAGTTAGTACACACCTGCTATCGACTCTGATCAAGCCCATATAAAGTTCAGTATTAGGACTTTTCTGACATTTACTCAGTTGCCTCTTACAGCAAAATCCATGGTCTGCAAAGAGCTTACAAAGCATCAAATGGATCTCATTGTTGGAGGGTATTAGTCAGGATACAAGTACAAAACAATTTCCAAGGTGTTGTAAATACTATGGAATACAGATTGAAGACAGTCAAGTGGAGAACATATGGCACAACAGTTACATTACCAAGAACTAGATGTCCTTCCAAACTTGATGAACAAACAGGAAAAAAACTGATGCAAGATGCTGCCAAGAGGCCTATAGCAACATTAAAGGAGTTGCAGGAAGTTCTGGCAAGTATTGGTTGTGTATTATGTGTCACAACAATCTTCCATATTCTTCATGTGTCTGGGCTCTGGAGTAGAGTGGCAAGGTGGAACCTTTTCGTATAAAGAAAAACATCCAAGCCTGGCTAAATTTTGCAAACACCTAGATCAAGTCTAACAAAAGCATGTGGGAAAATGTGTTGTTGTCTGATGAGACCATGATTGAACTTTTTGTCCATAATTCCAAAAAGTATGCCTGGTGGAAAAACAACATTGCATCACCAAACATACACCATACCCACAGTGAAGCATGGTGATGGCAGCATTATGCTTTGTGGCTGCTTTTCTTCCAATGGAATTGGACCTTTAGTCAAGGTCGAAGGATTTTATGAACAGTTCTAAATATCAATTTTGTTATAAAATCTCCAGGCCTCTGCTGGCTGAGGAATTCTGGGAGTTGAAGTCCACAAGTCATAAAAGAGCCAAGGTTGTCTACCCCTGGCCTAGTCCATGCCTGGACCTGAATCCAATTGAAAATCTGAAGAGGGTTGTGTATGGGAGATGCTCTCGCAGTCTGACAGATTTGGATCTTTTTTGCAAGGAAGAGTGGACAGAGATTCCCAAGGCAAGATACAGCATGCTGATAGGCCCCTACCTCAAAAGACCGAATGCTGACATAAAATCAAAAAGCGCTTCAATAGAGCATTATTTTAAGGGTGTGAACACTTCTGCAATCTTTTTATTGTAAAGTTTTTTATTTTTATTTTTTCCTCCTGAAAGATTTCAGTTTGTTTTCAATTATATTGTATAGCTTATATCTTACATTAAAGGTGGGGAAAAAATCTGAATTGATTTATCTTTGTCTGATTTTTTTTTTGTATCTCAAAAACCTGACATTTTAACAGGGGTGAGTAGACCTTCTATATTCAATGTACCTATACCATAAGTTATGTTTTTCCAAACCATTGTTACAACATGCAGCATGGGAGTGTTTTAAAAAGCAACTCTAAAGTCCTACTGCAAAAAGAAAATAGTCAAATTGCATATCATGAACAATTTAGTGAAAATAAAATATTCTAGTACAAATTGAATGATACAACTCTAAAAGGTGTTGGTTCTTTTCATGTAAAAAAGATTGACATTGTCTTTTATTATATTGTCACATTTTTAAAAGAAAACTCCATAAGCTGGGATAATTTACTGTCTTCCAATTGTTTTATATAGATAATGCCCAACTCTTGTTTCATGAGGTGTTAGATTAGCTGTTATATTTCAGTGTTTGCAGATGTTGGTATACTATTGTGGAAAAGTGCTGGCTTTCTGAATGCACCCCAGTTAAATATCTTTCATGGAAAGGAGTTTATGCCAAGGAAAGCAATGCAAGCAGTTTCCTCTCTCCTGTGCTGAATAAGATGAGAACAAATCCTGTAGAGCAGTGGTCTGTATCCCCTCCCTTCCTTCCCATTGCATGTTGTTTATTAAACTAGAGTTTTTCTGGGAGTTGTTCTTTTCCGTTTTGAAAGCTTTGACGAAAAATCAATTTTAGCTTTGAAGAGCTCCGAAGCAACATATTTTGTATTGGATAGGCTGATGAACAATTAATGCTTGTTATATGATGAGTCCATAAACCTTGAATTTGACTATTGGTGGGTTTCTCTGCCTTGTTGAAATCAGCAGTCTAGAAACAATCTTGACAGAAAACAAAATTCTTAACAGCCAGATCTAAGATTTGAAGTTTTTAGTTTTCAAAAGAAAGATGTCTGTTTTATTAAGTGCTGATTTTTGAATATTTGAAAAGGGTCCTGTATGGATATCTTTTGCTTGGCAATTCAGAGGATATTCCTGTGCAATTAGAAATGAAAAACAGATGAGAATGCTATGAAAAGATACATGGTAAAGTGAAAGATTTGGATGCATCTGCAGTTCTGGATCAAGTGTATGTATAGTTTCTTCTGATTTGAAGGACCATCTATCAGAGAAATAGTGAATGTCTTTTGTGCATCAAGAAATTGGATATGCTTTGAAATTTGCTCAGCAAAGTATACAGTAAGCTCTTCAAGAAACTCACTGCTATTCTTAATTAAATAAATGTGATTTAACTTTATTCTTGCGTTGCGTTGTTTGGTAACTTTAAAAAGACTCCTTTTAAGTAGCACTGGAGTACCAACTGCAATCAAAGCTTCAAGAGAAATACTGTGTAGGTTTTCATTCTAGAAAACGTTAAAAGTTAATGTGACAACAACACCATGTCGCAGCGTGGATATTCAAGAGATGGGCAAGAAAATCATCACCAGATACTTCACAGAGTCAGTTATTTCCGCCAAAGGATTACCTCAGCCGTTCACCGATCTCTTACAAAAAGGCATGGAAGAAATTACTCTTCCCACATCTGGTCGGGTGAGAACTGTCCCAAATTATTTTTAGCATATATCTACTAACTACTATCCATAAAAGTGTAATGTTTGTTTTGTATGCTCATTCTTATGGCACTTGTCTCTATTTTTCTTCCCCTTCAATTTTATCTGTATTTTTTAAATTAGTGCACCATTATTTAATATGCTTTAAAATATGCTCTTAATTTATTGGAAAAGGTATGTGCTTCAACTATTTATATTAGTATCCTACTGGGTCATTAAGCAATCTGGATTTTCCTCTACCTAAGCACAGTTCCATTCTCTTCACCACACAGTGATGTCAAAGTCTCTTATAGTCCTTAGAAAAGCCTGCATGCCTTAGTACAAATGGTTTTCATTTGAAATCTTTCTTTTAGCCAATATCATCACTACATCATTTTGAATGTTTTTATTTTCTGTGGTGGTACTGATATGCTTGTCTTATGCTGACCAAAGATCATTTAAAAGTGGATTTAGCATCGACTAAGTTGACATCCTCAAATTATCTATATTAATTTTAGTAAGTGTATGTTAAGATACACAATAACTTTTAATATTTCATTGTTTTAAAACTATTAGAAACAAGCTTTGGCTGAATCCAGGGATTTGAATCGGTCCTTTAGTTCTGCTTGTAGAGTTTGCAGAAAAGAAGCTTTGGAGTTTGAACTTGTTTGTTTGTTTGTTTGTTTGTTTCAGTAAATTTATATGCGTCCCATCTTCCTGTATGAGGTAACTCTGGTCCAAAAATGATTCACAGTTCTCTGCTAGGTCCTTTTTCTTTTCTTCATAATGTTTGATTTTTGTTTATTTGTTTGTTTGAATAACACATACACAAACACACACCTGTAGTAAACCTTATCAGATTTCTAACCTGATTTTTCATCCATTTGGTTCTCAATGAAATTGCTGCAATTAAAGTCAGGCAATTAAAGTTACTTGATGTTACCACTTCATATATTGATCAGTAAATTAGAAGACTGTAGGGCAGGGGTCCCCAACCCCCAGGCTGTGGCTCGTTCAGCACTGGGCCATGGAAGCAGTGGGTGAGTCCGAATATGTGCGCAGCTTCCCTTGCACGCACAACAGGTGAGCACATCTGCAGTTGCCCACCACTTGCACAGAATCATCGCCTCCCCCCCCCACTGGTCTGCAAAGCCAGACAGGTTGGAGACCCACTGCTATAGGGGACTGTATAAGACATCCAATAGACATTCTTTTTTTTAAAAAAAAACTTGTATTAAAGGAGATAAAAGTAGAAAAGAAATACAAATGTAAAAAGAACAAAGAAAAATGAAAAATAATAGAAAAATATTTAAAGAAATTACTTTTGCAACAAGTACAGGCAAACTTAACATTTCCCCATTCACTATAAGATTACATACATATTTCACTTCTTTCCATTACTCCCCCTTATCCATTTGTAATTCCAAAAATTCTCATTTCTGTCAGCAAAACACCTATAAAGCATTTCCAGAATCTATAGAAACATTTCTATTTTAACACTGATTAAACAAGTCAACTTTATATTCCTTTCTTTTGTTTTTACCTATCTTGATCTTTAATTCATCAAAATTGCTGTTGTAGGATTGAATCTCCATTCCAACTTCTCCCCTCTCAAAGTTTTAGAATCTCTCTTTTGTAAATCCAGTAATAAATTCTTGCCCAGATCATTGTTCATCATTTGGTTTGTCATTTGCATTTTCACCTTGGCACCTCTGTCTTATAATCCACAATTTCTTTATTTTTCACTATTTCTACTCATCTGGCGTTTGTTTTAACTCTTTGTCCTCTCAGTCTTCTTTCATATTGTTCTCTTTCACATGTTTCTTTTTCTTCTTTATAATCTCTTCAAAACGTGCACTTGCAAGCGCAGTAATTATTCCTGTCAGTTTAGTGATAAATTTGGCTTTCAATTTTTCAAAAATCATTTGAAATTTCTCAGGTGTCATACTGTTATCATTTTACAAATTTCACCGCTCTTCTTTGGGTTCAAAAACAAAGGACAAGTTCCCTCTACCCCACTTTTTTTTCTTTTCTAGAACTTTAGTCCCCTCCAGTGTCCCATTTCTAATCAGTCTGAGATTTCTTCGTTTGTTTTCAAATTTCAACCAAGCATCACTTTCCTTGATAGATTAAATAACTGTTAATTATGTTCCTACAAGCATAATTTGTTTACTTCATTATTTCAAAAATCTGAGCAAAACGTTACAAATTTGTCTAGTTGTTAGTTTACTTATAGTTTTCTTGCCTTAAATTCTTACTTGCCTTTTTTCATTTATTTTATACTATTATTTTATTATTTTGGGATGAAATTTACTCATCAAGTAGTTTTTAACTTCAAAATTATTATAAATGTGAAAGTGAGGTTGGACGAATCCAGTGTCCTTAGAAGGTACACACTGCAGTTGAAAACTCAATGGCTTCCTTTGTCTCCTGGCACTCAGTCACAGGGGTTGACTGAAATCTTGCCATCTCCTTGCAAGGAGCACAAGCTGATGATCATTCTTTTTCCAGAGATGTTCCATTAGACTTTGCTTGCTGCCAGTTTGGGCTGCTGCATTATCTCTGCACCTTTGGAAAGGTTTAGTTCGCTATTCCTTGCCTGTAAGTCCCCTCTAACATACTCTCTTCACTTCTTAATAACATTTTTTTACCTTACACTTGTAATCATATTAATATTTGTGTTTAAAATGACATACTTCTTGACTAGGTAATAGACAAAGTGTCAAACTGAAGTATGGATTTACTAATATAGTGACAGAATAAATATAATGTGGTTTAAAGGTTTAAACCGAATAATAAAATACATAGTCATTTTATTACTTGGATTATTGCCGTTATTGTACTTTGGATTATTGCTCACAGCATATTTATTTGTCCAAGGTAAGAGTATTCTGAAAAGAGATCTTACAAACCTGTGTTCATAATTGGAGACAATTTTGCAGCTTTCATCTTAGAAATGCTAATATGTTAAAAATGTTTTTAAAATGGTTTTCTATAGATATTAACTTTTCCTCCAAATTTAGTCATTTTCTTAATACTTTAATATCATCAATACATGATAAGCATTCAGAACATGGGTTCCAAAGCTATGGTTCAAGGTATGGATCCCAACTGCTCTGCCTTTTTCTGACACCCTTGTGAATTTTTATTTGAAAGAATTGTGCTTTGCATTCAGTTTTCCCATCCTTCTCAGCTCAGGGTGGTTTTTAAAGAGTGTAAGTTGCATTACAGGCACTCTGCTTGCACAGCAAGTCTTTTTCTCCCCATCCCTGCTAGCCTCAGTCCTTTTTCAAACAATTCCTCCAGAGACCTCTGGAATAGCGTTTGAGGAAATTTCAAGAACAAAGGGAAAATAGCCCTCCTTCCTCTTTCTACTGATTGCACTGGTTCTCTTGGTGGAAAAAATCTCTGGATTCTTCCTTCTTGCTTGTTGATGGATCTTGGGATTCTAGATGCTACAAGACTAAAGCATGCCTAACTGTTCACTGCCATGCTCCCCTTAGGCTAAAATGTCTGGCCTAAATTTAGCAGAGTCAAAATTCTTTATTTCATTGTCATCATCCAGACTAAAAATAATTCATGAAATCTTCCTTAAAAACCAAGAAGAAAGTATTCATCTAAACTAAATAAGGCACAGAAAGTCACAATAAAAGGTTGTTTCTTCTGCTGCTGCTGTGATTACTACAGCACTGTACATACTATAGTAAAAATGAAGTGCATCATAATTAAATGAATTAAAAATAAAAGACAGAATAAAACTGACAGGAAATCAGAGTTTTGTAATGGAGAAAATGTTGGGACTAGAACTAAGGAGATTCAAGATCAGTTACTACAAAAACAGTGAAAGCCACTGAGCAACTTTGACTAGGTTCACAGACAGACAAACACACTTACACATAAACAAAGCTCAAACTTCTCCAAAGGCCTGCTGTTGTGGAGAAAAAATGGAAATATTCCATATGCCATTTGGAACTGAAAGAAAAATAGGATATAAATGTAACAAGTAAATAACAGAGGAACAATAGATAGTAAAACATGAGCAACATTTCTGAGGCCTGCCCTTGAGGATTGGATTTACAAAATTTATTAGATGCCTGGACTAATATATCCTCTCAGGATACTGAATATCTTGTGGGCAGTATTTATACTTCCCTCTCACCTTCCCCAACACCATTATTCCTATGTACAAATTATGTTCTGGCATGTGAAATCAAGTACTTTTAGAACATAGCAAGCAATGCCTCCAGGAACAGACTCCTAGCCCATCTATTCCACCAGTTCACACAGTGGTCAACCAACTACACAAGGAAGTTCTGGTGAATGGAAAGTTTAGTTTCAAAGTACAGAGAATAAAAGTTCAGATTATTTATTTATATAGTGTCATATGCACTTTTACGATTTTATCATGATGTGTACATGGGGCTGGGGAGAGATGTTAGAAGTTCAGGCTGGACCTCAGAGATGGATGCTTTGTACTTCCAATATTAATCTATTAAAATATACATGTACAAATTTACCATATATGTAAAGTATTAACATTTTGGGCACCAGGGACCGGTTCCACGGACTGGAGGGGGTGTGGTTTTGTGTGCTGCCTGCATGCCATGGATGGGGCTTTGCTTGTTTGTGCGGAGTGGCTGCTGGCATGTTGCGGCCCGGTACTGGTCCACGGACTGGGGGTTGGGGACCCCTGGTATAGTCTAATACATCAAATCCATTGAAATTTTATAAAATTGTGGTTCCTGCTTCTGATGCCTTATTATTTTAGCTTTTGAAGTAGCTTTATTAATGAACATTTCAGTTGTTATCTAGAGTTTTCCAATATTGGACAATTATTTTATCTGCTAAAATTAGATGAGTTCCTTATTTTTAAACTTGAGATTTGGTCCTGTAAATAAATGCACTGCCTAACTCTGAGGATCATTCAGTTCTTTGTTTAGTGATGGTACTCATCTCCCCCCAATATTTATCCTAAAATAAAGCCTCCACCACAAATAAACC